GTTGTCGGAGAAGACTGTGGGTGGTTGATTTTTTGATTGAGTTTTTAAGAAAATGAAAATGGAAAACTGAAAACGATTTTTAATCGTTTTCAGTTTTGTTGAGTTTTTAAGAATAAAGGAAAAAACGTTTTCATTTTCTGTTTTTCAAGAAATGCTACCAAACGGCTTTCTCAGAGCATTTCAATTTTTGGTTCTTAGAAAACGTGAAAAACAGAAATGAAAACGGAATCAAACAGCCCCATAATGTTCTTTCTCTATATTATCCATATTATTGTCTAACACAAAAAACACCAGTAATTTGGTGTGATAACTCGAGAAGAGTTCACTTAGCTGCCAATCCTGTTTTACATGCTCGTACAAAGCATATAGAACTAGATTAATTCTTTGTGCGTGAAAAGGTAACAAGGAGGCAAATTGAAGTTCGGCATGTTCCTGCAATGGATCAGCTTGCAGACATTTTCACCAAGGCCATTTCGAGCTCAGTTTTTGGATTAATGAGGCACAAACTTAGAGTAGAAGATTCGTACTATAAGTTTGAGGGGGTCTGTTAGGAATGAAAAGGAAGCTGAGAATACAAAGTCTGTAAATATTAGTGCAGATTAGTTTGTTAGCTTAGAGATTAGTTTAACCATCTGTAACTAATTGTAACCACTTGAGTAGGTTTGTTAGAAGTTAGTTACTCTTCTGAATAAGCAGCTAGGCAGCTATTTAGGCTAATCCTCTGTAATCATTCATTAATGAGAATTTCCATTTTCTCTCATTCAAAGATTCTTTCCAGTTTAGTTTTAGTTCTTTACATCATCAAATGAGAAACTTATCAAACCAGTCGCTAGCTTCTTTTACCATCAGCGAGGTCAACTGGTGGCCAATTCCGGGTTCCGCAACAAACTGGGCATTGAAAAAGTAAAGAATATTAAACGATAATATTTCCATGACAAGATTAATTTCCGAAAGGTTCATATTTGATAAATACGAGTACTCCATTGAATAATCATTCATGCATATTCTCCCTGTTTTATGTCTTTCTAATCTCATACACATTGCGAAAATAGCATAATATGGAATTGAATATTTTTCATTTTTTTTTTTTTCAAGTTTAAGCAGCTAGTTCAAATTTCATAACTTGAAATTGTTTAAATGGTGCGCAATTTTGTAGTTATGATGTGCCCTTGAAATGGGAACCTCTAAACCAGGCAGTGGACATCTGGGATCTTCTGCACCTGTGTAATATTTTGAAATCAATATAATGAAACAATGCTACTGAACACCGTGGTGTTCAGCATCAACCACGAACACCACCCACTAATAAATACGAGTCTCACAATATGAAACTCATGAGACCCATCTTCTATTAGTGGGGCCGGTGGTGCCCCTAAGCATTTTTCAATGCTTAAACACGTATGAAGATTATACGGGCAAAAAAAAGGCAGCAATTGGCATGAGCACTACTCGGTTTCGCCGGTTGCGGTAGGTAGCTTGTTATCAAGAAAAACGCTATTCTAGACTCAAAATCAGAATCTAGAAGCAAAGGAGCTGGAACTTTACTATGAAGTATATTGTAGTTGGAAATTAAAGTGAGTGCAAGAAAGAGTTTAATTTACCATTTAAAATCAAGAGAGGACGAGGTGCAATAGCGGGAACAGTGTAAGGAGAATCAAAATGAGATGCTAGACCCGGAGCAATCCTATCCCAAACCTGTTCAGATAATTAAGAAATTAAATAGGCTACGATTATACTAGACTCGAAAATTGCAATAGATGTAGTAATCGTATATATGCTAATGTTGTAAATTCGTGTTCAAGGACACTATTAATTTCTCAGTTATAGGACAGCGATATAATTGCAGATTAAAAGTCTTTAATGTAAATGTTAATGCTAGTTAACATTAAAAAGTATGATATGATATGTTATTTTTATTTTTTTTAATGTATAATACTATTTGAAATATTAAATTTATTTATTTTTATAATCATTAAGTTTTAAAAATTATAAAAGTAAACTTTTATTTTTAAAATAATTAGAAAATGTAAAAATTATAATAATTACACGAATAAGTACACATTTTAATCAATAACAATCAAATATTAAATTTTTCATATACTATATTTTGTGAGAAATTTATCATAAAGTATAATATATGATAAATTTAACACAATAAATAACGTTATATTATAAAGTATTTTTTATATTTAAATATTAAATTTGTAATTAACACATCAAGTATAACCTACCATATTAAAAATGCTCTAAGTACGCATCTAAATAGTGTAGTACTTATTAATTACCTTCCTCACCACTTCTTTATCAATTACACTCTTCCCTAAATCTTTTCGTGCACCCAAAAACAAATAAATAAAATAAAATAGTGGGAGAAATCAATATGAGTCTTTTTTCACGTTTATTACAATAATAAATCCAGCACACAGATGATGTAAGTCGAATAATAATATTCTAAATTTCTAATGGCAAGATACATATGAACTCCACTTTCATCCTGAAAAGAAAGAGATAAAGTTAGAGGAACAAAAACATGCAGCTTAATTTGCATTAACCAAAATTAAACACTAGTTGTCTCTAAATTGATCTAATTATTAATTACCCCCAAAAACGGGCTTTATACTGTCAACTCGAGCCTGCCACTTGTCATTGTCTACTGCCCATCGAAAACCCTATAGTCATATATATTGAATTAGTATTGACTTAGTTTTATGTCAATAAATCTATAGATAAATTTGGTAATATTTATCGTATGGTAGATTTTTTATCCTATCAGTAAGTAACACGGTTTAATTGTTAGATTAAAATTTTTAACATAATACCTTATTGAATTAACCGGTTACTTATTGGCGGGATAAAAAAGCCTGTCCTTTCGTAAAAATTGCCAAATTTATACAAAGTAAACATTATGGACAAGGACTAGTTACCTGAACCCCAATTATGGGGACAGCCACAGAATAGCGCGTCAGCAAAAGCAGCAAACCATGCATGCATACCTGTGTTGCAATTGCAATATTTTTATTTTTCTATTTTCAATTTTTAATAATATAGGTAAATAAAAAAAGAATTATGACTTTCGGGTTATATATATTTTAATTCGTAGAACATCAAAATCTGTTCAATCAACAAACCTCCAAGTGATATGCCAGTGATTCCTATTCTAGTAGGGTCTAGGTCCTTCCTTTCTGTTAAATAATCTGCCAGTTTGATCAAGTCCCAGACCTGCAATGATTAAACTTTATGCCTCTCGGAACCAAAATCATAAAATAATAATAATAATAATATTAAGTGTAAAGGCTAGGAATAAAGTACCATCTCATCCACAACAGATTAAAATGAATGGAGGTTACCGTATCAAATATGAATGGCATGGTATCACCTCTTTTCCATGATGATATAAGAGCCTACAGTTGAAAACAAAAAGAATATCTCATGATCGATAATTACCTATAATATTGTAGACGCTCGTGGTTATTTTGACCGATTAATCTTCCAATATGCAATTTAAAGGAATTCTTCGTTAGGATGCTCCCACTATAGGGGCTTCATAGGACCATTTGTAGTACGTCACACACCCAGGGTTGTATATGATGCATGAACCCATCATTGTCTATAATGTGGTCATCCCATTCTAAAGAATTCCCCATGACTCTAACTAATATATATATATATATATATATATATATATATATATATATGATCAGATCTTTTTCACAGCTCACTTGGGAAGGTCCCCCATATGCATCTCATGAAAATATGTGAATTCAGGATGATCTAATTGACTATTTACTCTTAAGAGTGTCCCTAGGCCTTAGCTAGTTCATTTAGACCTTCTTTATTTTATCGATTCGAGTTTTTAGTTTTAGATTTTTACAGTTAAAAACTCACAGAAAATATCATATTTAACTTTTTCTACCACAGTTAAAAACTCTCAAAAAATATCACATCTCAACTCGAATTCAAAACTTGAATTCGCAAAGCGAAGAAGACCTTAATGTTTAGTCTGGATTCACAGAAATCAAAACAAAAATTGCACAACTAAAGAGAATATGGGAATAAGTACAAACATCTTGGTAGGTGCTACTGTTGTGGCCACGTTCACCATGGTAGCGGGAATCAACGGCAATAGATACATATCCTCTCGAAGCATACGACTCAAATAAGAAAAACAAGACCTTAAATGATTCACTATGAAATAATTAAAAATGGAAGTTTTTTTCCCGAAGAAAAAATGTGTAGAGAAAGTTTGGAAAGGCCGTATACCTACCTCAAGTAAGTGTCTTAACGACTCTTTACATTGGCCAGTACCATGGAGGAAAACAACCGCAGGCCTTGTTTCGTGTTTGTACTTGTTCTTCATGCTTATAATCAATACTGGCAATCGTCCTTGCTCTCCTGCCTATGGCTTGCCAAAGATCAGAATATATATGTCTCGATTTTTTTTTTATTCCCAACGGACCTAGCAGAGTTGTTATTTGTAGGTGTTTAAAATTAACTGGTCTAACTCAATTACAATTAAAAGACATCTGTTAGTGGAAAAAAGAGAAAATGCTGAGATTGATCCTTTAAAATAACGTGTAATCAAAATTGTCCTGCTATCTTTGTCATTTCATTTCGGAACGGTCCCTTTTGTAGTTTGACCATCCAATTTAAAAGACCAAGTGACCAACCTCCGTGACGGCGATCTGCCGAGGGTGTCACGCCTATGTGCTCTGGTGACAATAGCTGATCAGGCGGAGGTAGGGATAAAAGTTCGTGCCGCTGGCCTGGCAAATGAAAATTTTGGATTTGACCGGCCCTAAATGAGAGAGGGACGCTCAATCTGACTCGATTTTAAACTTTTTAAGGTATTATTTAAAAATAAAAATCTTTAAAAAAAAGAGCATTTGGGTAGTATCGGACAGAGTGGATCAATAGTGGTGAGTTTTAGACAGTCCGTTTGACCTCACCTAAATTTACAGCTCTAGGCCGAGGTTTGACCCCGCCTAAATTTACAGCTCTAGGCCGAGGTGATGTGCAGGCAAAGATCTCATAACCATGTGGACAGAGATCGATCTCCTGCGTCCAAACCTCTGCGGCCGTGATTTGAGCGTAACGAACAGGAAGTAAAGCACGATATGAGCTTTGATGGAGATCTGCAACTCCTCTGAGTTGTCATGCTTTTTCTAGATTCTGTGACGCACACCATGAGCAATCTCCATTGACGAGTTGCAGCTCTGCACGATCTTGTCGGAAGAGTCACGGTGAGAATGAAGATCTCATCATGGTGAGCAGATCTAACAGTGGAGGATCTGTCGTCATCGTTTGTCAGTGGATCTCGTTCGTCGCAGATGACAGATCACATTGCGTTTGGAGATATTGTGATTTTAAGATCTTGTTTTGTTAGTTTTTAGTTAATTGTTTAGTTAAGATAAGGTTTTGTTTGGATCGATTGATATTGAGATCGTCATTGAATCTGGTTCGTTTTTTTTTTTTTTTTTATATATAGTATGTTGCTTATTTATGGAACTTGTGTATACTTTTATAAGAGTAATTTGGACAATTTTTTTCTTTTTTTTAGAGATTGGAGGATTATTTGATAATCTGGTATTTGTTGTTTCTTTCATAAAAATAATATATTGTAGGATGTTTGGTTCATGGTTTGTTACAGTATTTTATCTCCCAAAAAATACACGTAAATCGAAAATAATTCTAATCATATGATTCTAATTCATGAACCAAATGTAGTTTTAGATTCCTCTAAAATCACACGGTTAGTAATTTTTTATTAAAAATAAAAATAATATAATAATTAAAAATAATTTACTAGATTTCTCTATGCCACACTTACCAAGGTCGGTCAATTTTTAACTAAAAATAAGAAATAAGTTGGTAGATTATAAAACATAACCTATCAGATTTCTCTCCGGCTACTAGCATCAGTGATTGAAGACAGACAATAATTTTTTATTGAAAACAAAAAAAAAAAAAATCTGATAAATTCTTCTCCGGCATCTACCATATTCTTCTCCCACAACCGACACTGGCAAGCGGATATGGTTGGTAATTTTTTATTGAAAATAAAAAATAATATACTAAACCCTTTTTTGACATCTAGTTGACGCCGACAAATCAGTGACAATTTGTTGTTTTTTTTTTTGTTGAAAACAAAAAAATAATCTACGAAATTCTTCTCTAATATTTTCTAGATTCCTCTTCAGCGGCCAGTACCACCGATCGGGGATCACCTTATGGCGACATTCGGTAGATTATCGATGGTAATATGGTATATTAACTAGGTCCTCTAAAAGGGGCAGTCATAAAAGAGTCATTATTTAGACGTCAATGCTAGAAAGGTGGTTATTATAAGGGTAGTTTTGCATTTATCTCATTAAAAAATAACAACCCATGAAGTGCTACGTGAGTTGGTATGTTTAAACTTGTTGGCCTCATTTTTCTAATTAAATTTTAATATTTCACTTAATTTTTTAAATATTTTTAGTATTTAGTATTTATTATGTGAGTTCTTAAATTAAAAATGAGATGACAAAATAACAAAATAGTATTAGAGAATGAGACAAGAGATAAATGGAATAACATATTTGTGGTCTGAAAAAAAAAAAAAATAGGGTCCCTTGCGCTCTAGTACTCTAAAAGCATACAAGTAAAGAGAATGATGGAATAAAAAGAGGAAGATGTAGTAAATAGAAGATTTTTAAAATTAAATGAAATATATAATATATTTTAAAATTATTTGAAGTAAATAGCGCTTTACGTGGTAAATGAATTATTTATTATGTAAGTAATTCATTTAAGACAGATAAAAAATAACTTACATGATAAAAAAAATTTATTTATGTGAATTTATTTTATCATTCATAAAAGAAAATTTACCTAAAAAAATGTTTTCCTAAATGAACCATTTACTTCATTTAGTTTTATAAATCCGTTATTTAAGTAAAGTGGACAGATTACCTCGGTAGTCAAGTGGAGATTTTCCTCTTGCAGTAATTCCTCCAAATTCTCAACGTTTGTCTTTGGACTGGACGCCCTAGTCTAAGTTGAAGGCCGGCCAAGAAAATTACAAATAAAAAATAAAGGGAGAAAGAGGTAAATAGGTCAAGATTTAAGATGAATTAAAATTAATAGGTCAATAGTTTACATAAGTTAATAAATAGGTTAAATTACTGTTTCATCCATAATTAGTCTGTTTATGAACCATAATTTGACAAGTTATTGTTTATAATTGTCCATAACTTGTCTGACTATAAACTATAACTTGATAAGTTTATCTATAACTTATCTGGTTATAAACCATAACTTAACAAGTTATGACCTATTAATTTCTATAACTAAAAATTAGCCTATATACTTTCTTAAACTTTTTATATTGGTATATTTTCTACTATTTCTCAAAAATAAATGTATAGTTTATAAAGATTATAAGATAAAAACACAAAAGTGCATAATATTGGAATGAAATCTGAACCTCACGGAACTGAGGTGATACGGCCTCCTGACACTGAGGATTCGTCGGTGGTTTTGCTGGCTTAATGGATAAGGGAACTGAAAAGAGATAATAGAGATGAAACAATAAATCAAACATTTCAATCTTATCAAAAATCCTCAAACAAAACAAAAATCAAGATTTTTAGAATTTTACCTTCGGCAGATCGCCGGCTACACAAAACTTCGATAAATTCATTGCGAAGCTTCTCGACTTTAACGGATCTCTTCTCACCGTTAACCGGAACCGGGTTTGGCCGGTAATAAGCTGTGGAAGAAGACAAGTGCCGGAGACATATCGGCGTACGTGTGGGACCTGACCGATCCGTATCATGCTTTATGCCGGTGTTCAACGATGGTAAGGATGAGAATGCGAGGACCATGCTGCAGAGAAAAGACAGTGCCATTTTCTTTCTCTGCAATAGAGATTTTCTACTTTATTTTTCGGTTCTCTATTTCTAACTTTAAACCAATAATATACGGATAACGCGATTCCGTGAACCATATGTTTCTCAGTTTTTGGTTCCTTACAAAAGACTGATAGAAAACCACGAAGGAGATCCAAGTATCGCTGATACTGTTTTATAATTTTGTTGCTTTTCTTTGACAAGATATATTATATATTATTATAAATATGTATAATATAGATATATACACTTAAACCAATCAAGTGGAGATACCGAGCGAGTTAGTGAAGAAAACGTGAAGTTTATTATAGTATGAAGTTGGCCTTCCTCATTTAACTTATTCGAATTTTTAATTTTAGATTTTTATAATTAAAAATACTTAAACAATATCACATTTAATTATTTTTATTACAGTGAAAAAATATCACATCTCAACTTAAATTAAATATTTGAATTCGCGAAGTGAATTAGACATTTGTGTTTTCTTCCTGATTTGGCAAGGTTATCCAAAATTTTTTATCCAGCAAAGTTGATGCTAAATTAAAGATTGTTCTTTTTCTTTTTTATTTTCTTGCACCCAAAATTTCAGGAGAAACAGAGCAAAAAATCTTGACTGGATATATATTCTGTACGGTAGTTTTTGCCAACTTACTTGTTAATAACTGCGGGCGACGTGCAAGTTCGTGCCTCTTCAATTTATATAAAATTAGTTCCCTTAAAAAGAAAAAAAAATAGTATTAATATTGGCAGTTGCTTCATTTCAACACCATGAAAATTCTACTGTAAAATATGTAAAACTACCCTACTGTTTTGGTTGTTTTTTGAATAATGCATCAGATTTTCTGAAATCTGTATATCCTTTTCAAAAATATGCATTGCCCACAAGGGTATCTTATTATCGAAAACTCCTGTTGCCTATTAGTCCTCTTAAAAACGAATTCTCTTATGAGAATTTTCACGGTAGAATTTGTCCTTTTTAATTACTACAGAGTACTGTTGTTTTAACTATTGAATTAAGTTTTTAATTTTGACGTCATTATATTAGTCATATGTCGCATGCTACAATTTTTTAAGGGATGTATTACTCTTTTAACTTACATATGTGAATTCTTTTTGTCTAAAATTTGCATAATACATGTTAGGGACAATAGCTCAACAAAATATTTATCGTCTCATGAAGAAGATTTACTGTGCTTGTTTAGTTGGAAGGTTTAAACTACCCTAATTTTGGTTCAAACATTATTTTCTCTCGTAAAAAATTGAATTTAAAAAGTTCTACTAAGTGTTTTCTCTCACAAAATTTGAATTATGCTTCAAATGAACCATTAGTTTGAACGCACCTGTCATTAATAGGCCCGAAAGATGTGTTCCATGATATACAACTCCAAATCTCTCATTATCCATAACTGTTATGATTTTGATTCAATGCTATTTTACCCTGAACATTACGTCAATATGTACGGAAACGGTATGTATATAAGTTGGCTCCTTCCATGAGGTGAGAGGATTAAGAGGGATGAGTACAATTCGCATGATTTTTTTTTTAAGGTCAACAAAATTTAGTTAGCTAGCTGTATTGGGATAGTTACAGGTATTTTTGTAACAATAACTCCACGTTGGAGATTTTACGAGTTCAAATTTAAATAACAAACTTGAAAAAATATGCCTTTTTCCAAACCTTCAACTCCAAAAATTCTTAGACAAAAGAAACATGAAAAGTGTAAATATAACATCACAAAACCGTAGTGTAACTCTCTTAAGAGTCCCATATGGGGCCAAACGCTGCAATTCCAGCAGCCGTGCATGCATTAACCACGTCCCTGCTGCCTTGAGGATTGCTCGTCACGATCACCACTTCTGCTCCCCACGCTCTCGCAGCTTCCACGCTCATCTGCGACACATTAGGCCTTCCCAACAGGGCCGTGTCATGAACTATAACCTTGTCTTTGGGATATCCACAGTCCACTTACCATCTCTTTTATCTCCTTCCCAAAGTTCTGTTCAATTCCTTTACCAACCCAAAGTAGACATACCTTCGCCGAACTCCGCTGTAACAGAAACGAGAGGAACACGCAGATTCCTGACCCGGTAGCCACCAACAAAACTCTCTTGTGCATGTTCACTAGATAAGGCAATCCTGAGAAATGCACTTGCCGAAACCCACAAATGGCTCGGCGGGTTCGTAACCAGCGATTTAGTGAAGTCCCCCACGGCTCCTGCCAACATCATGTGCTCTTCCTTCCCGTCGGAGATGAATCCAAACGCGTGCCATTCGGAGAACGGGGACGGGCTAATTCTGTCAAGTATTCCAGCCTTCACTCCTCCTTTGAACTTGATAATCAAGGCATGGCCCGAAGGAGCAGAGACTTTAACCGGCGCGCGTCTAACTGTTAGCCATGGGATGATAATTAGCATGGTAATGGCAATTGTGAACCAGAATTCTTTTTGTTTTGCAAGCCTTGATTTGAGATCCCTGGTGTAAGTGTTGGAGTTTGAGAAGTATGATCTTGTGAGATTGATAGAGGCCCAGAGGAGTCCTGGCGCCATCCAACCGGCAAACCGGTGAGTCCTTTCGAAGATGTTGTGGTGGAGATGGCGGACGAGTGGGAATGCGGCAAAAGAAGAGAGGCAAAGAAGGCCGAGAATGACCGAGGCCAGGGCTATAATTGCAGAGGAAGTGTTATCCTTGTCTTTAAGAGCCAGAACCAAGGCGTAAATTAACCACGCAATAGAAGAAACGCCGCAACCGCCGCCAAGACTCTGGAGAAGAGATGTTGTAGCAGTCTTGACAAAAAGAGGAATCCATGACCAGCCTAAGAGGTTGACGGCGAGCCAGAAGACAACCCGCAAAAAGGCCTCGCTTCGACATAGCGTCAAAGCGAAAATGTTTGCGATGGAGAACAGGGCTGCTCTGTTCCTGGCCTAAGGGAACTGGCCTGTGGCTGCTAGAACCAAACACGTAATGTTCCGAGCGAAGCAAACCACAAACAGTCGCTTGTAGACCGTGAACAGCCCTTGATCGAGCAGTATGATAGCGAGCCTGGACTCTGTGTTTTTCATGCAGAAGCGTGGATGAGTTTTATAGGCACGTAGAGTTGACTGTGTATTTAACCATCTTGTTTGATTCGGTCAGAGACTCGGAATAGGATATTTTATATACATTTGGATAAGTCAATCTATTTCTTGTCGTTTTGCTTATAGCTTAGAGTTGGCAAATAACTGCAGTAACACAACCATGGAATTAAAAGCTTATTTAATTTTTCTCAGTGTGTTGATTGCATGTTATGCTCACAACTTGGGTATAATATATATATATATGTGTGTGTGTGTGTATATTTTGCTCAAGACACAACTTGGGTATATAAATCTTGGATATACATACGGAAAAAACCGCGTTGTATATAGTGCTTTCTTGTTATTTTGGACATGTTTGGTATATGGATTCAAATCAGAAATTTTGATTATGACTTTTGAAATTTAAATTTTTTATAAGAAAAAACAGAACCGAAATCATAAATTTGCACTGTAGCAAAACCCATATACCAAACATCACTTAATAATCCGTCTTATTTGCATTGCTTCATTTATCCCCAATTGTTTTATTAGTTGTATAAAATAATCTTCTTGCTAATGTTATGCTACTAATTTCTTATTCATGTCAATGATATCTAAACTAAGAGGTGCTGTAACTAGCTTGGTTGATACATTTTTAACTTAAAAGGAACTAGTTTATTGATGATAATTTCCATGTCTCTGAACCGTTCGTGTAGTTATTATATATAATGATATATATATATATATAAATATATATGATACGTGAGAACAATTAATATCGAAACATTTTAGTAAGCGTCCTATCTCTCACTAAACTTTTCCCTCAGCTATTATTAATAAAGAAGAAAAAGATTACACGAAAAAATCTGAAATAAATGAAAATTTCAACCACTCGACTACATGAAAGAAAAACATTAGAACAGAAAAGAAATAATCCTAAAGGATCTACCCCAACTCGATCTAGAAAAATAAAATGAAAAAAAAAATAAAAATATATATATATATATATGAAAAGAAAGGAAAAGTAGTGCATGATCTAGGAAAACAATGAATCCATCAAAACTAAAAATTTGCACTGTAGCAAAACTCACATACTAAAACGGTAAAAAGAAGCGCACACTACAAGAAATTTGACTTTTAACAACTATTTTTTCAGTCATAGGAAGTCCAAATTTAGTCGCATAAAACCTTCCGTAACTAAAAAAATATAGTCGCTACTTGGTCGCTAAAAGTCGGTCATAGAAAGTTTTTTGCGACTAAAATTTTATAGTCACTAAATATTCATGCATTCAACGACTAAAATTTTAGTTGCAAAAATCTTTTAGTTGGTCGCAAGAAAATTTTACGAACACCAAAAATTTGTGTTCCAAAGAGACCAAATTATTTTTTGTGACTATGTGAAACCTGATTGGCAACTAATTATTAGTTGTTGTTAAATCAATTATTAGACATATAATGACTAACCTTTTAGTCGCTAAAAGTTGTCTCATTTTGATTATTCATTTGGGAAATTTCTCCAGTTGCATCTTCAAGTGCTGGTATCATATCGTCACTATCAGAACCTTCATTATCGTCTCTCATGTTTGAAACACCCTCTTCTTGATTGTTAGATTTTAGATTGACGTCAGCCTCTCCATGATATATCCAGTTCGTATAATGTCTAGAGAAACCGTAAAACCATAGATGTCGTTCAATTGTTGTTATATCATGAAAGAAGAAGTTTACACATTCGATGCAGGGGCAGCGAGTCTTATTGTCGTCGTTCAAGTGATTGCGAGCAATTGCAATGAAGTTCTTGACGCCATCAGTATATTCTTGTGATAACTTATTATTGTTCCACATCCATTTCTTGTCCATGATTGAAAGCGTTAACTGCTTATAACAAATTCAACCATAAGAAGTTAAGTCTAACGCCATCAGTCCATGAGAGCAATTATAATGAACATAATAACTCCTAGCGGGACATCATAAATTTAATAACGTTGAAAATTAATATTTATATCATTGAGACGTTGAATTATAATTCAATTTACATAAACACTTTCTGGCTAAAACTTTTAGAGCATAAAATTAACATATAATAATAGTATAGGCATGAATTTTTATAAATTAAAATACTCACTTTTAACGTTTAAAACGGATTTTACAAAACGTGTCTTAAAATTTGTCAGCACGTGTGAAACACTGAGCAGTTACCGATAAAAATCCATAACAATAAAAATATATGTATAAAAATTCCGTAAAAATTAGCAGATAGTTGCAACATATAAATACAAGAAATACCCAAAAATCACAGTGAAATAAAATTATATCAACCCTCAACACTTTCTGAAACTCAGAGATCACATGATTCACAAATTTTAGAGACCTCAAATCAAAATTCATTATTAAATAATAAGTAATTCATAAAACCCTAAAATTTTAAAACAATACTAAAATCATGGAATTAAATATTCTTAGAATTCAAATTCATTAGAAACTCATTCATGTCATATCATGAGAATTATATGTCAAGCCAAACCCTAGAATTCTTCTCTAGTACAATCTAAAAAAAAAAAAATTCACATATCATGAAAATTCTCTATCAATAAAACATAAAATTCATATCTTGAATTCCTTTTGAATTCCCTAAACAAACATGATAGCTAGCAAAATAAAATTCTTAAAAAGAATTCTTCTAAAGCGGCATTAAAGAGAGGAGAGTGAGAGACAGAATACCAACTTCAAAATTGGAGAGCGTTAGAGTCTTTCTTAGAAATTATTTAAGCGTTAGTGATAGGGCAAAATCAAGTATAAAGAGAAGGGAGAGAGAGAGAGTAGAATGAGACTTATGCCAATACTTTTGGCATATATACAGATATGAGATCAAAACCTAATACTTAAGGCATATATATAGATATGAGATTTCCTACGTCAAAACCTAATAGGAAATCTCTTTTTTTTCCCCTTCCTCTCTCTCTCTTTATAATATATATATATATATATATAAATTAATAAGACTCGTCAACCTATGGTTGCCAAATTTGTGGTGACTTCGGCAACAGCCGAAGTCACCTTATAGTATGTATATAATGTTGATATATATATATATATAATCGTAATTAAATTTAGAATTAATAATTATTCAAAAGGTTCCAACTAATTCCTACTTATCCAAAAAAATTTATTCTTTTATTCCTCTTTTTTTCTTTTTCTTTTTTTTTTTTTGTATCTCAGCCTCTTCCTTAAAACTATAATAATTTGTTTTACTAAAAAAAATATTATAATAATAATTCCTTGCCGCAAAATCAGCGGAAACCCATGAAAATCTCCTCTTTTCGTTATATTACCCACATCACAATCAATTACTTACTTCTTTACTGCTAATTTACTAATTTGACTTCAAAAAATAAATATTTACAAATGTGGACGGATGTGGACGGATGTGGGTCAACATTAGGGTGACTTAAAAATATAAATATATATAAATGAATATATATATATATATATAAATATATAGATATGAGTCAGTTATAGAGGTTAGTTATGACTTGGGGGATAATGAGCTGGGTTATTTCGCTGTATTTTTTGGTGAGTGGGCTTGTTAAGTGGTCGGGTTAATATGAACCTATCCTTGCTAACAAAAAAAAAAGAACGAAAGAAAAAAAATAAAACGTTAGATAATAATTGTAAATGGTGTTAGCTAGAGAGCGTGTAAAGAAGATGATAAAGTGTCAGGTAATAACTGTGTGTGTGTTAAACTTTTAATCTTAATATTATTTTAGGAGTGCTATCTATAAAAGACTCATTTTGTGAGATGATCATTCTTTGATATCCTCTTTGTTTCTTGTTTTAAAAATATAACTATTTAAGGGTTGCATAGAGAATAAGAAACCGCTTAGAAAGAGATTAAGTTTTAATAATTTAATTATATCCTATTTATTAACATTAAAGCCTTTGGATTATTTATATTATATAATTAGAGCAACATTTTTACTTTATTTTTTTAAGCTTATATATATGGGTATTTATCTTAGTTGGTTAATTGTTTAATTGATTATATAAAAAAACTATATTTCGTTAAAAAAACGATCTTAGTTGTTTATTAATTTTGATACCAAAATAAAATTTTTTACTTATTTGTTTCTGAGACTAAATCTTAGTCACTAAAAGATAGATTTAATGACTAAAAGTGCTTCAATCACTGAAATTGTAAGATTTTATGTTGTTCAATGACTAATAGTTTAGTCGCAAAATACATTTTAAACCTTTAGTGACCAACTTTTGGTCGCTAAATATTATTTTCAATGACTAGGTTATTTTAGTCACAAAAATTTGGTCTTCCCTCCATTTTTAATATTTGGCGCCATAGGTTTTTGCAACTAAAAACGCATTTAGTCACTAAATGTATCTTTCGGCGACTAAATAATTGGTTACTGATGATTTTAGTTCCGAAAATAATATAGCTCTTGACTAAATAATTCCACGACTAAAGTTTAGTCAGTGAAAAATATATTTGGCGACTAACTAGTTTTAGTCACTGAAAGTGTAATTTCTTGTAGCGCAGTTTGATTCCAATTAACCAAAGGAATGAGGAAATTAATTTGGAGCCGAAGACTACGTACCAGTGCATCCAATCTCTCGAGAAGGCAGAAGAAGAAAACTTATCCCCAACACCATTGGCTTCTCAGAAATTTTATGTGATATAACAATCAAATGAATCAGAGAAATATGGAGAGCCCGAAGCCATCTATATTGAAGGTGCCAAGGAACAACAGATGAATATGTCTTGAAGGAGTACTACTTGCCCACGTAGAGAATCGCATTCTATAATTTAGAGATATCGCCAGTTCAATGATCTTAGGCTTTTTCAATAGCCAGCTGATAATAATATCCCAAGACCTAGCAGCTTTCCCTTGATATAAAGTACACATAATGTCATACATTAATTAAGGGAAGAGATTTTAATTTCTTGCTGAACTTTATTAATGTATAATGTCACTGTGGTTCAAAATAATAACGATATAACGACAATAATAGCAATAACAACTAAAACAACAACAACAACAATATTAAAAATATTGTTCATTTCCATGGACATATAAGCCCACGCACAATTTTGGCACCACTTGGTGCGTTTATCATAGTCTGAATGCCATAATAAACTCCACTTAACCTTTGGGAGAGAAAAGACCAATAGGTCCCTTATAAATTACATTCCATGCTTAGGACACCTTGGGAAGCTTCCTCCAGTACTAAACATTATTATGTGGTGGCCTATCGGTAATAGTCTATCGTAGTGGGTCTGTGATTAAAGATTCGAGTGTTAGATGATCATCTTTAAAGCTTTTAAATGTAAAGATTTCTACCTATTTATTTAATACATATTTTAGTTCGTCTGAGACCATGCCCCTACGTATTCTTACCATTAACACATTAATGCGACGTTTGGTTCATGGATTAGAATCATGTGATTAGAATTATTTTTAATTTACGTGTATTTTTTATGAGAGAAAATACTGTAGCGAACCATGAACCATAATTCAAATTATAATTTAAATCCTCCAACCAAACGTACCCTAAATGTGTTTAGGGTAATGCGCTTCTCATCGCTGGTACGTAATGCCCAAGTATATATAGGATCTTCAGCAAATATTCCAATTAACGTCTGAGGAACTCCTTTGTTAACACTCAAAAAGAATAGGTCAACTTTGGTCGCCCCTTACTTGGACTTTTCTCATAGCCGAAAAAAAATAATGTAGTACTGATCAAGACATGCATCATTTGTAGTCCAATTAATCGTAAAAGCAAGTTGAAAATGATAATAACAATTAGTAAATTCCTAGTGCAAAACCACGTCATTAACGAATTTCATGACATTCAAATTAAGTTGACTTTTTATGCTAGGTCGTTCAGTTAGCTTCTTTAGCGCACCCATCGTACTAACCTGCTAGCTGTATTCTCGCAAGTACAGTTGCGTCCTATACATCATTGTTCATAATGCTATGCATTAACTTGCTCAAATATCCGCTACGTAGATACAAACAAGCGATATAAACAGAGATATAATGATGTATTATTACACTAATCACGTACGATGGTATACTAATGATGTTATTACATGATTAGATATGTCACAAATAATTAGCGGTTCACTAATGATGTAAAAAAAACTGCACGACACAAGTAACGCTAGTCTGACTCTACGACCTATATATATATATATATATATATATATATATTGTTGGGCACATCCACGCATACTGTACCGAAATAAGATTCCCCAGTATGAAGTGCGAAAGGTTCCAAATAACTAGTTTAATTAGAAATCAACTGTTTAAAAATTCTGGAACTCCTAGTTGCTTTGCAATGCCAAAGAACTGATTTGGATACTGTATATAATAATTATTATTAACATATACTTTTGTATGTTGTTAGGCAGTTAATTGAGAAATCTGGTTTAGTTTCTACTTATGTACTACCCAAAATAAACAAAATTATCAAATTCTTTATTGCAACGTCTAATTGTTTTTTTATTTTATTGCTTTTGCATGCAAGTAGATGGACAACATCGAAAAGATTCATCCACCTTCCGCAGTCATGCCCCCATTTAGGAAAGAGAATCAAGAGCAAACTTTTCAACAAACTTTTTTTTTAATCAATGAGAAGAGAGCAAACTAATATCAAATAAGTTTTTTTATGCATTCCAATTATCACCTCGAGCAAACTTTTCAACAAACTTTTTTTTTTTAATAAATGAAAAGATCAGAGCAACTAACATCAAATAAGTTTTTTGTAATTCCGATTATCACCTTTTCACCCGTAATAGAACGCGTATTCCACATCAAGCTCCCACTTCAGATATATAAAATTATACGAAAAAGGTTAAAAACCTATATTAGTTACAACTCAAAATAGAGATTAAGAAAATAAAACCTCAATTAATTCAATAAAACTAGCTACAGTAGGAAAAAGGGAAAAAATACAAGGCAAAAGGACAAATTAGATGCATGGAACAAGATTATTATAGAGGGTTTGATTGAGAACTCGTAGTTAAGAGGTGTCCACGTGGTATGTCCTTACTTACTTTGATATTAATTGTCTTCTCTCATCATTTATATACAATTATGAAAGTGGCAAAAGTATTTTAAACTTTGATCCTTATCTTCTCTCATCATTTACTTTTGCTTACTTTTTTTTTCTTTAGCTTTATTTTCTTTCTTTCTTTCTTTTTTATTTTATTTTTTGCTTCCTGATCATTTTTCTTTTCTTTTTTTCTTCTTGAAATCTTATATTATTTTTTTAATCTAAATAATATATTTTTTTTCTTTTCAACTTGTGGTGGGGATTTAAACTCGTCATCATCCACGTGATTGTTGAATTGGAGGCGCGAGCACTAATTATTTTTTGTTACTACCATATACGTGGCAATTATGTGGTCAATTTTTAGTTATAATTACTAGTAGATTCTTACAACCGGGGTCATCAATAGAGGGTTATCTTACAAACTTTGAATATTAAAAAGAAATCATATATATAGTCGATGTTCAGAAAATAAGAAAATGTAGTTGATGTACTTAATTTTGTGTATGCGACAGCCGAACTGATTTTGGATTATTCAAATTTTAAAACAGACTTAAGATTTACATATATAAAAAATATGGCTAGCTAAGAAGTATCAGCTAATTAAGAATATATATATATTGGTATTTGCCGTCCCTTTTATATAAACTTATTAGTTATTTCTTTCGTTTATTCGTTGATTCAACTCGATCACGACTAGTTAACTACTCATTCTTTAATCACCCAATGCCTTTGCCAGTTCCTATTTGCTTCTATCATCCTTTATAATTCCCTCTTTATTTTTAACTTTCTACGTGTTCTTTAATGTTACATTTGGTATGAGGATTCAAATCAAGGTGGTTCTAGTTTTAAAATTAGAACCATAATTTATGATTTAAACTTTGGGTCGAAACCATTGTTTTAGAACCGGAATCATTACCAGAAGTTTGAACCATTCAAAATCAAGGGGGGAGGTGGTTTCATTTTTTTTGGTGGTTCTGGTTTAAAACATCACATCAGCATTCAAACCTTGAATCAGAATCATCAAAACGAAACACTGATTTTCAAGAACCATTTTTTACTTTTTACAATCAAACAAAGATTTAAACTATAATCATGGTTCCGGTTCTAAAATCCTCATACCAACGCAACCTAAAGGATCTAGAACCATAGTGTCTATAATTATCACAACTAATATTCTTTTACACAACAATTAGTCTGCAGTAAATTAGACAAAGTTCAAGTACATTAGACAACCGAATTTATTCTTGACATGGTTAGCAATTATTGCTAACTTATTACTAATTGATGGGAGATTATTTAATTAATCTCTTCCTCACTATCCTTCAACTCCCAAGTGCCATCATCATTTTGAATCATTGACTTGTTCTTTTCGGTCCACCACTCTGCAACTACACGATATTCATCATCCAAATAATCACCATATTTGTTCAAGAATACTTTATCGCGAGCAATGGCCTTTAAATCAAATTCCTTATCAGGTCCTTGGTACCCCGCAACTGTGTGCAAGTGAACCTCCAAAGAATGCAAAGTCAACAAAGCCTTCTTCAAATATGGCGATTCGAGAGAGTCAACGACCAATTCTTGTCCTACGTCAGAATACAAATAATAACCAGGTGGATACTTGGGGACAATGTCCAGGTAATTATTGATGCGCAGGACATGAAGATTGGAACCGATCAGCCCCGTGAATACCTTCGAAAACCCTTCATCTCCGATCCGAGGACAGGCAATGCAAAAGGCTGTGACGGGAATGGCCTTGTCTGGCTTATCTGGGAGCTTGTTAAATCCATTGAAAACAATGTCTGTTGCATTCAGTGTTACTATTGCAGCTCCCATGCTGTGGCCAACAAAAGTTATGCTCAAATCCTCGTCCTTGTATGCAGCCACTTGTTTTTTGATCTCATTTATAATCTGTGATGTGTTTTAGATTGAAAAATGATATTAGTCCTCATGTAAAACTAGCTGGGATCCTACTGTCATAAAAGATTTGTGCAATATATATGTTTTGTTCCTGAGGATTATTGTCCTGACCTTCACTAATTTTTAACCAATCACACGCTTACATATCAAATTTTAGATAAATAGATTATTAGATAAATGGTGTGAAAATTGGATACTTAAGAACTTGTGTTTAAACAATCTTTAAATGTCAACCTTTTTAAAATCATGTGCTGTAATATTTATTAAGATTTTTATATTCTTTAGATTAAGATAAAAATGTGCGCAACTTATATTTATTTTTCCTTAAAAAGAACATGTTTGTCGTACCTGATCTCTGGCACTAATGGAAGTGAGAGGGGAGTCAGGATTTGTCCCAGTGTACAAGGAATACCAACCATTGTGTACTTTGGGATCATTGGCCGTTCCAAGTATCTTGGACGCTGAAACTGAGGCGAAATCTAAATCCTTAATCCATTCAGGGTCTAACATGGTACCTCTCCAGCTAACCAGAATGTCCCTCCTCCCTAATGCCGCCTTGCCGTCGTCTGTGGCCACAGCAACATAGGCCATCAAGTTCGACTGCTTGATAACCTTCCATGTAGCAGTCAAGCTCGGCGGCTTGAGCTCTAACGCCGCATAAATGAAGTTGGTGACCTCGTATTTGTATGGATTCCCTTTCTCTAACCCCACCTTGGAGAAGAAATCCCTCTTCGCGTAACGGGATCGCCCGTAGTTCTTCGATTTCTCCTCCGCGATGAAGGCGTCGCCGAGAGCTTCGTTCCTTTCGCCGTAGTGAATTATGTAACGGCGGAAATCATTGTCCAGAGGATGGTCTAATAGGCCCTTCCAGTCATTCTCACCACTAAAAACCTTCCATTTTTCTGCTATGCTACCCATTTTAGTATATTGATATTCCTCAATAGCCAAAATATTGTTTATATTGCGATTGAAAACTTCTTTCTTCGGACGCTTTTTTATAGAGTGCTCATCATCAACAACGTCAACCCCTGGTCATTAACAATGCTTTTATTGCAACATAAAATTTAATTTATTGGGGTCTCACAACTTGTGTCCACAATGTGGACCTGTCATAATTAACGATTTTTATTTTTTTTTTCCGATTGTGAGTAGTAGTCAAATATGTCGTATCTACAGATAATAATAAAGATTCGTTGTCAAATCCAATCATATGTTTCATTCTTACCTAAATATCATAAAGTAATACACTTCTTTCCCAAATTTCGTTATCGAAATAATTAGTACAAAATAGTTCTTTTCCCATTTTCAAACCAGATGATCACTATGAGTGTGTACTAGCTAGCATAAAAGAAATATCTAATTGATAATAATTAGCTTCTAAAATATTGTACATAATCATGTCCGCTATGATATTCTAAAACTAGTTTATACGGCTATAATAACTATGTGGAAAATTAAGTTAATAAAAGTTTTAGGGTCAGTTTAGTTCACTGATTCGAGTTTTTAATTTGAGTTGAGATGTGATTTTATGTGAGAGCTTTTTACTGTAATAAAAAAATTAGATATGACTGTTTCTAAGAGCTTTTTACTGTAACAAAAACTCAAATTAGTGAAATGAACGAGGCCTTAAAGAATAGAGACACTTTACCAGACTGGAAATTAAATTTATTTTTTTTATTTTTGTTGATGTAACAAATATTTTAATTGAGTTAGCCTCTCTTAGCGGCAGCAATATAATTCTTTTTATTTTAATTGATATGACATGATGTTATTGGAATAAAAAGAATCTTATATTTTTTAGTATGAAAAATAATTTAAAAAAATAAATAAATACTTTTGCTACTTGATTTTTGTGATTAGGTATATATTTTCTATTATATTTCAAACCTTTTTTTTTTGTCGGCTAGAAGTTTGGATCTCAAACCATTAGAACTTTGAAAGATCCCGCACCCGCCTCTTGATTAATCTAATATGCTCGTAAATGCAAGTTTAGAGGGGAAAAAAAAAACTCTTTTGAAGATTTTAAAACCTATATCATAATTTCAGTAAGACGTTATATATGTCATTTAATATTTGGGAAATTTTATTGACACGCTAAGATTTTATTAAGGCACCTCAAAAAATTTAAAATTTAAAATTATTTTATTTGTAATATTAAAAGCTCACATAATTCCGTAAATACCCTTATATACACACTATACCTTATCTTTTCTTTCAAATGAAAATAAATAAAAAAATCTGATTCTCCAGAGAAAAGAAGAAGAAGAAGAAGAAGCAGCAGCAGCAGCCAGAGATACTCACTGAAAATAGTTTTGATTCTCAAGTCCTTTTTTTAAGTTTTTCCTTTTAAAAACTCGACTGTTAGATCGTATTTCCTCAAGCGTTTTTTTCCTTTTTTCAGTCATTTTTTCCTTCTAAATTTTATATAAATTGCTGGATGAAAAAAGTTAATATTTATTGAAAAACGTTTTTTTTTCCTTTTTTTCACTTGAAATATTTGAACAATATTTATTGTCCAATTTTTACTTGTAGTTTACACATGGAAGAGTTGAGGAAATCAGGATCTCACACACAAACACAATTGCAAAAATTACAAGTCTCCCAATTTGCAGGATGGTTTAGCAACCATGTAAGTATATTATCATATGAAATGCATATATACTTATACCATGTAAATAAGAGATAACATGGCTAGCCATTCTACTCCTGCACACATGATGTCAACTCTACAGGTAATTATAATTCATTGTATATAACTTTTATACTCTGTTTTATAGTCATAACTTGCTAATCATATATATATATATATATATATATATATATATTCCAATTATTATAGCAACAAGACGTGCGCGAGGAGAAACTAGTTGCATGATAAAATTGTTAGTTCGTCTGGAAAAATGGTTCCAGACTTTTGTCCTGGTACATATAAAGGGATTGGAAGTTGGTAAAATGCGGACTGCCGAGTTGGGATGGATTTCACATCACATGACCCCACTTTAATACAAGGTTTAGAGAGATATTCCAAAACCAAAAAAAATGGCAATGGTTGCTAGACTTAAGGTAACTTACTAGAACCATGAAATTCGTCCTCACATATATTCTTTCGAAGTTAAATATTCCAATTTTGCTAATTGTTGTTGCAGGATAAGTTTAAAATGGAATGAGCGTAACAAGGTAAAAGGAGCATGCATATTAGATTCCATTGACCGTCAGCTAAACAAACAGTGGAAAGGTTGGAGGTGTCGGATGCATAAATATTTCATAGAAAAAGGAGGAGAAACTGATCCAGAGGAAGCCAAAAAATACAGGCACAAACAGGTCCTATTGCAGGCAGATTGGGATTGGTTATGTGATTATTGATCAACTGAAGAGTACAAGGTAATTTATGTAAATAATCAGTGATTTATTATGTAAATAATATATAGGTTACTTAACAATTTCTCTTGAACTTCGTAGAGAAAATCAGTAACCAACACTAAGAATCGTGCAAATAAGAAGGAACCAAGTATTCAGGAAACTAAATCCTTTGCATCTCACTTGTTTGACAAGGTATTTCATATTATCATGTTGGTTTCCATGTGGGTACTTCAGATCAATCCAGAAAAGACTGTCCTTCATATTTGCCAACCACATAACTTTTTCTCAATAGTACTTGCTTCTAATTATATTAATGAATTCTTGTTGATAACACACTATCAGAAGCTCTGACATTATATATATGTGTACATATATATATATATATATTTGCACCGAAAAGCAAAGAAGCTTGATAATTCTAGTGGACTAATTGAGCTCTATCATGATATGTACCATCACAAGACTAAGGGTTGGACTGGGACAAAACCAGAGGAGAACTATGTGTGCAAGTTATTTGTGTCCTTCTATTTCTTTATACTTTATGATTCATTAGCTTTGTTTTCCTTTTTACGTATTCATTTTCAAATGGCAGTACAAGATGATAGAATTGCAAGCACAGATTGGCCAAACAAATGATGCAGCAGAGGGAAATACTTCTACGCAGGTCACACAAATGAGCGAGAAAGATATAATGAACAATGTCCGCGGCACTCGATCGGGATATACGTATGGGGAGCGGGCCAAGTACCTAGAGGGGGTCCGAGAAGGAGTAGAACAGAGAATGGTTTTTTCTCTAATGAAACTGAGGAACAAATGCTTGAGACCATCCGGAACCAGCAATTGGAGATCGATAATCTTAAGAACTTTAGATGCACGTCGACAAATGGAGATTGATAAGTCTTAAGAACTTCGTGAAGTGTATGTTCCCACAGTATCAACCTCCTTTTGGTGACACAATTCCTTCAGAGTAGTGTGTTTGCTATTGTTTACCCTTATTTCAGAACTTTTAAACTTCTAAGACTTTGTATAAATATCTGTCTTTTTGGATGGTTTGTTAGCAGACTAATATCATGTTGACATTTTGGATATTACTTCTATTATTGACATTTTAGATCATGTTGACAGTTTGGCTTTGTTGACGTTTTACATATATTTACATTATATATATTTTTAAAAAAAAGAAAGAAAAATATAGTGACCAATCCTTACAATAAATAGTTGCTCAAAAGAATGAAATAGGTCGTACGACAGAACACATATAGCAATGACTTTTGTATGTATAGCGACCATTTATTGTCGTTGCTGTACCCACGATCCACGACGACATTTCAACTTTTGTCAAAAACATATAGAGACGACAAATAGCAACGAGCTTGTCTAATATTCTACAGCTACCATTCTAAAACGACGAGTGCAGTCGTGGCAAAAAATCGTCACTAAAGATATATGGTAACGACTTTTTCGTTTAGCGACGACTTAAAGCTGATTTCTTGTTGTGTCTCGCCATTTTGGACTATTTGCTTGTCAAATAATACAAATTCTTGTAAAATCATATAATACAAGTTCTCTGGTGGGTGATAACCTATTTGGCATGTGCCAATTAACCTTGATGCTAGTTAACTTTCTCACCATCTATATAATATAATATATTGATATATTAATATTATATATTAACCCTATCACTGTACAATTAATTTGATTCCTGAAAATATTGCGTACCATACACCTCTTTTATGTAGTATTTTTTTTCGGCTCCAGCTAGAAAACCACTCGGATGTTATACTACCACGATTAGTGAAGTAAGATAAATTGAATTTGATCTAACTCAACGTCCTTCAACACCTACCTTCATTAGAGTTTTTCAAGTACGATGTTTAGATGCATGCACAATATATTAAGGGCGCGTTTACCAAACCGTAAAGAAATTTAATGAAAAAAGTAATAGGATTGTAAAAAAAAAGTAAAATAATAGATTAAGAGTCATTTATTCTTTTTTTAAGTGTTTACTTGACTATGATGTAATGAGAAACAAACTCATTTTCTTTCTTATGTTTACTAAAATTAGAAATAACAATGTTATGAATGTAATTACTAGAATGTTTTTTTACACAATTAACTAACCATTGACTATATAATAACTCATTAAGAGTAGATAAGTAAATTTAGCATTTATTTCCTTTGACAAGAAATCAATAGGGTAGCATAAAGATTGACATTCTCTTTCCTCATTTCCGATATTAATGTGGTGCCCATTAAATCTTTATTATTAATTTTGTAAGTAAACACATCTAATAATAGTTAAGAGAATCACTCTTCAGTTTCTCTTTTCCTTTGATCATGTAAAGTAAACATGCCCAAAGTATATTTAGCACATTATTAATACTATTATTAGATTTCAACCCGCTGATCTATCTAGCCAGCAAATCAAACCCAAACCAAATTCTACAACAGACAAGTTCAGAGCAGTAAAGTCAACCGGGATAGTAATTAAGCATATATATATATATATATATATATAACAAAATCAATTATCCTCCTCATGATCGATCAGCTTCCAAGAACCATCTTCCAGTTGAACCATTCCCTTGTTCTTCTCACACCGCCAAGACTCCGGCACAAGATACTCGTCCTTCAAACCATCCATGGTTTTGTTCACCAAAGCGATGTCCCGGTGAACTTCCAACTTGAACCCGCCTTTCGATCCCTGTGTCCCCGCAAGTCCATGCAGATAACCCTCCAAGTTGTGCCAACTCGAAATGTTTCCAGGGCTCTTGAGGTAACTGGATTTGCTGGTGTCGATTTTCAACTCTTCTCCGACGTCCGAGTACTCTATGATCGGATAGTTTGGGACGATATCTAGGGCATTACGCACGCGTAGAGCTCGGAGATCTTTGTACGAAGAGAAGAGGTTGCGGAAATCGGAGTCTCCAACTCTAGGGCTGGCGAATATGATGGCCGTGACTGGACAAGGTTTGTGTGGATGGTGTTTGGGCTTGTTGTATCGGTTGCTGACTATGTCGACTGCGTTCAGGGTTGCGATTGCCGCTCCCAAGCTGTGGCCTGTGATTGTTATGCTGATTTCCTCATCTTTATATTGTTCAACTAGTCTCTCGATCTCGCTTAGGACCTGCAGTAAATCCCATGACCAAAAATAATTACTGAAAAGTTGATGGACTATAAACTTATTAGACCTTAAAAACGTGACTTTCCAATACAATATAGCTTGTTTGTAACTAGACATAATTGGTCGGAAATTATGTTTTGGCTGATCACAAAGGGAGAAAAAAAAAAAAAAAAAAAAAAAAAAGCAATCCAAACTTTGTGCAAAGATACCTGACACGCTACGTTTTGTCGTGTGGCCAACAGAATTTTTTGTATACAACTTTATGCAACTAATATTCTCTTATCAAATATATACGTCTGAATATCTTTTTTAATTAGTAAATTGCCTATGTAGCAATCATTTTTACTTTTACAGTGCAGTGAATAACTCTAACTTATAATAACTTGCAACATGCGCTAGTAACCCTGATGTTTTATTGTTCTCGATCTCTTACCAATTATTAAAAAAATAAAATAAAATAACTCGCTTGCAACAGATTTAAACTACTTTAAGGACATGAATAGACTGTGGTTAACTCCAAGAACATGATTTCAGGAAGAAGAAAAAAAAAACGGCAAGAACATGCATGAAACAATAAGTTCATGAAGTTGGCCTTCACTTCTTGCGAAACCTCTGTGAAAATCACCAAAAGCAATCTCTATGGAGAAGCATGCGCGTTATTGTCTCAAGCCCATCTTCAATTAATTTGTTCAAAATCATGAATATTAAAATATCATAATCGTGTTGGATTCTTTGGATAATGATTATGGTCTTCAGAGGAAGAAATCAAGTAGTCATGAAGTGGGAGATGGCAAATTAAAAAGGGTAGAAAACGACCCTTTATTCCTTTTGCCTATACAGGAACTAATCAAATTTCTAGCTATCACGTACAAGTCACATTCTTTACCTGCTTTTTTGTCTCACTTGTATACTCCTTTTATATGTTTTGTCTCTATGGATGTTTCATTGAAAATGATTTAATTAAGGAAAAAAACTGTACTCCAAATCTAATTACTGTTCAGAGAGTAATATTTATTTACAATTAACAGACATATATATATATATATATGTATGTATATTACAGAAACTATTACCTGTTGTCTTGCACTGGTTTTATTGAAACGAGAACGCTGATCCTCCGATGTATAGATGGAGTACCACCCTTGATGCACCTTGGGATCACCAGCCTTATCACCAAGAATCTTGGAAGCCGAAACCAATCTGAACTCAAAATCATTGATCCATTCCAACGTCCGTACAGTTCCTCTCCAAGCAATGACAATGTCTCTCCTTCCCAACTCAGCCTTCCCTTCGTCCGTCGCCACCGCGACATACCCCATCCAATTCGATTCCTTGCTCCAAGCCTCTCTCGATAAAGACTTGACGATAAACGCGTCCGGGACATCCACTTGCGAAGTCGCGTACAAGAACTTGGTCACCGAGTACTTGAAAGGGTTTCCATTCTCTAGGCTAACCTTGGCAAACAAGTCCTTCCTCCCGTAGCGGCTGCTTCCCGCGTATTTCGACGCCTTCTCGCCGTTGAAGGCGTCGTATGTCGCCTGCGCCATTTCTCCGTTGTGGATTATGTACCTCCGGAGATCGATGTTGAGAGGATCCAACAGGCCTTCCCAATTCTTTTCCCCGCTCAGGTACTTCCATTTCTCGGCTATGCTGCCCATATTCCTCTTCTTCTTCTTCACGCCAAAGCACTTTGTGAGGATGAGTTCTATGAAACCCTTTATATACACCGCTTGCAAACTTTTGGAATGCATAATTTCGGTATAAATAATTAACGTAACTGTATTTGGACCTATCTATTAGTATTACCTTCTTTCTTGGAAATATTGATTCACAGCAAACATTCTTTTTTGGAATGCTAGTTGAGACGTCTATAAAGTGGTTTTAGATTTTGTTTCTTTTCTTCTTCTTTTTTTTTTTCCTTTTAAAAAATTGTTTCGCAAAAGTTAATAGACGAATGCAAGTAATTAAATATTCTCTTAACTTCACCAGGCTAAGAACGCCCAACTTATTTGGAACTCTTTACGGCTTCAACTTAATTTATATTGTTTTGGTCAGCTTTTTATATTTAGCTCATTTAGTAGAAAAAGATAATGTAAACGAAAAAGTTCATTATCTTGACCCAGTAATTAAATTAGTTAATTAATTAATTATTAAGTTGATGACAGCACAGTTAGATTAAAATATAGGGACATGTATATTACATGATCCATTTTGTTGGACTTAGAGTCGTATTCCTACACATAAACCATTAGCACTCGGTATTAAACACTAATATTATAATCAATTATTTGCTAGCCATGTGCTCAAAGAAAATACAAAACGGGGTCACTAAATAACTTCTCTAAGCGGTTCTCTCCACACCTTGTGCCTGCGAAATTTAACCAGCTTGCGATGCCAATCCTAATCAAAGCATGAAATAGCAATTTGGTATATAATATGAAGTTTGAAGCTTAATTCGTCCATTTCAATGCTTTCAAGCAACGAACTTTTGTATTGCTTTCAAGTTTCTAAAATTTGACGCAACGTGTGCTTTTTCAAGGGCTTATTTGTTGTAGTGCAGCTATAATATATATATATATATATATATATATATCCTAACATTGTCGGCAGGCTCAGTACACACCTTCAGCTAATTCTGACATCATAACTATTACGTTTGCTATTCTTGGCTTCGAAGGTATGATTTCTTCTTTTTTTTAGTGGAACATGACAATTTTAAGGCAAATGTTTGGAAATTGGAATCTCGTGTTTGTCTTCAAAATTAACAAATTAAACTAGTTGGTTTCTCCAAACTAAACAAGGTTGAGCTGGGAGTTCTCATATCCTAATTCAAAGGCTTATTTTGTGACTGATCATAATAGATTTTCATATAAAGTATCCTCTTAAAACCGCATGTACTTTAAACATTATATTACTGATTTATTAGAACTGTGACAATATCATTTTTGTTTTCCTACCAACCAATTCTCCTGTAAAATTTGGAGATAAATTTTATTGTTTACTCTGCATTCTTGCTATCTACGCTGTTCCTTTTTCTCTGTAGGTTTATGATCTGGAATAACTTTTTTTTCCCCTTTCAGGGGATACGATTACGGACCGCAGCATATGTATGTTTGTTCTTGCGGTTAAAGCTTTGCTTTTTATATCTCAAAAAGAAACTTTGATTTTTCTATATTGTTTTTCATAATTTTTGTATCGTCAAAGTTTTTTTTACTTATTTTTCACAATCAAGCGTGATGGAATCAAGACTTAAAGAAAAATATGTGACAATTAATTTAGTGACAATATACGTACAGCTTTGAGTTTTTCATTTTGGGAAATACGATTACTAACCGCACCATACATATCTTTGTCAATTTTTTTTCCTTGCAAATAAACCTTTGCTTTCTATATCTAAAAAGATAAATTTTAAAAAAAAAAAAAAAAACTACTATTTTTTAAAGGAAATTTATCATCAAGCTTTTTTTTTTCTTTTGTATTTTATTATAAAGTGTATCAAAGACTCAAAAGAGAAGCACAACAATTTATCTAAAAAAAACATGAAAATTTATTTAGACACACAGTTTACGTGCAGTATTAATTTCCCCTTTCGAGAAATACGATTACGAACCACAAATGTCTTCGCTACAGATCAGTTCTATATCTCAGAATATTATATATATGAGAGGGTACATGAGATATATCCTTTGCTGTATATCAAAAAAAGGGAAAAGAACATAATATTATTCCTTGCTGATATTCTCAAATTTCTGATGTTTGGGAATCAAATATAAATGTTATTTTGAGCGTAACTTCAAAGGAGCTAGACAACACTGATTACACACTCAAATTTAGCGGTTTACATGTAAAATCCAAGACACATTTTATGTTTAGGTTTGGTCACAATAATTCGATGGATACATGCTGACTCAATCTGATCTTTTTAAGCATATCGATTATCTACGTCTTTAGTAGATGCCAACCTAATTGGGATGCGCTAACAATCTCTGATATCAGCTTTCGCAGTTTATTCAAAAAATATATATATATCTACATCTAGCACATAAGCTCTACATTTACGCAATTGTAGAATGCAATTCCATTTCCTTTTTTAAGACTGAGTTCCTTGAAGTTTTGTCCTATCAGATAGCTAGTAATAAGATGACATGGTTTCGTATATAGACCTAGCTAGTGGTCGTTACTCATATACGCGATGAATGTAACGTACTCGAAAAGAAAAGATTGTTTTATTACTAAAAACCTCATAATATTCCAACTTGCTATTCTTTTCCTGAACACATTTAAGTAGTTATTAATTAAGTAATACCTGCAAAGGTAAAAATTAGTACATCAAATTAATAAGAGTTGTCGGGGGATTTGTAAGATGGTGAAGGAGGGAGTATCTGTTAAAGTATAAAAACTATTGTTGGCCCACCTCCTAATAGCTTAAGCTTTTGGGATGGATTGGTAAACTAACATGGTATCAGAGCGGGAGGTCCTGAGTTCAAACCCCCGTAATTGCACTCTTTATCCCCATTTAAAATTGTCATCATGTGTTGGATCTTTAATATATCTCGGGTTTTAAATATTCACGTGTTGGGCTTTTCAATTAATTTACCCACACGATTGCCCATTGTCCAGCCCACACGTGAGGGGGAGTGTTAAAGTATAAAAACTATTGTTGGCCCACCTCCTAATAGCTTAAGCTTTTGGGATGAATTGGTAAACTAACAATATCAGCCTAATCGAGATGCCGACCATTTGAATTATGCCATTATTTCTTTCGTTTGTTAATAATCATTTTGTTGGTATATAATTAACCAACATTCATGTCCATTTTACTTATTAACCCAATAATTCTACATCTGTTATAATCCAACATTACAGTATATATATGTGCCCCTCACTACTATAGGAAAAGTGGATGATTAGTTGTTAGATCTACCAAACCACTAGCTAGCTAGCACAATTTTTGCTTCAAGTGCAAGTACTTTTCTGGCCGCAAATTAAAGAAGAGACTACTTGGGCCAAGTTTAAGTAGTATTTTGCACGGCCCACATGGGCCACGTAGGTTTCTACATGAAGATAGTGTGTTCTTAACAGCAAATACAAACGTGTGAGTTCATCTCAAACGCCCACAGCCCCACACTCACTTTGTCGATCGTGGGTTTGTAGATCTATTAGACGTGACCTGTTTAGTTCGCTGATTTGAGTTTTTAATTCGAGTTAAAATGTGAGAACTTTTTATTATAGTAGAAAAGTTATATATAAGAGCTTTTTACTTAGCAAAATTCTAATTCTATGTACACATAGATTTAATGTACCAAAAGCCTAGCCTAGGTCTCTCCTTTTTCTCTTTGTTTCTTTTTTTTTTTTTCTTTTTAAGACTCTCATGTCCCAAAGAATTGTGGAGGGTGAATTAGAGAATACTACTTTTTCATGTGTTTAAACAGAAATTTAAACTCTTATTAGAGGAAAAACTAATAAAAAAAAATAAAGGTTTGGACTAAAGTTCAAATCTATGAACCAATTACGCCACCTTAGAGAGTTAGTATTCCCATATACTATTCCTATATGAAAGGATTTGAAACTGATTTGCACACAAACAATAATTAGCCTCCATAAGAGGTAGTAGGCCTAATTAACATAATTTATATATGGAGGTTCTAATCTATTAAAGGTATTTTTCTGGCACGATACTGTGATCAATTAAAAAACGACTTTTATTATGGTTGAAAACTAAAAATAAAAATAAAAATAAGTAAATAAATAAATAAGCACTTCTATTTTTTTCCTTGAAAACATACCACTTTCATCATTTGTTAAAAAAACAAAAAAACAAACAAACCTAAACTCTTGTTTTCAAAAGTTGAACAATGATTTACTATAATTCTGTATTTGTGGGGGGAACGCTCTTTTATTTTTTTTATTTTTTGCTCTTTCAAATTCCTTGATATTTACTAAAATTATACCAGTGGTTTACTTTGAAACTGTTCGATTATTGAAAGTAGACTGGTGGTTTATTATAATTCTTTGATCTGATCAGTGGTAATATGGGCGTACGGCGTACCATATGAGAGATATTTATCAAAGATAAGAATAGAAAGTGAACCTCTCAAAAGAACCCCATTGTCGGCTTGTTCAACAAGGGCCAAGGAGACAAGTAATCTCGAGACGTTTGGTTCATGAATTAGAATCATGAGATTAGAACTTATTTTTTATTTACGTGTATTTTTTATGAGAGAAAATATTGTAGCGAACCATAAACCATGATTCAAATCAGGGTATGAATCCCCTTACCAAACGTCACCGAGTGCAGTGCATAAGTCTATTTTACTCTTTATTTTTAGTTAATATCTTTTTAGTCTATATTAGTTAAAAGAATACTAATCAATATAAATTAAAGATAAAAATCAAGACTCGTGAAGTTTTAAGAATAAGTTTATGGTCTATTTGGTTTGCGAGTTCAAGTCAGTTATTTTGATTCTAAATTAAAATTTTGTAAGAGCACCATTAGAGGGAACTTTTTTTATTTAAATTTTTTATGAGAGAAAAGTATTGTAGTAAAATCAGAATCATGATTTCAAACGCGTGAAACAAACAGGCACTTAGTAATTCTCTCTTAGAAAAATATAGTAAATAGCATATTTTTTATAACTAAATTAGGTAAATAGCATATTTCAAAAATATTTTAAGTAAATAATAATTTATTGTATAAATATTTTATTTATGATTAGTAAAAAGATTTTTTTCTAAGTAAATTTTCTTTTTA